GCCAGGGGCACAGTTTGAGCACGACGACTTTTCCTTTCAAAATAGCCTGGCGACGGACCCAGCCGTATGAAGTTCTGAGTACTTTCTTTGTGAGCAACGCATTCGGTGGTGCTCCCAATGGGGCCACGAAGTGCTGTCCTGGGCGGGGGAGACGCATGTGAATGCAGCCACTGGGGCCTTCGGTGGAGCTCCCCATGGGGCCACGAAGCGCTGTATTGGGTGGCGCGGGCGCATGCGAACCCTGCCGCTGGGGCCTTCGGTGGAGCTCCCGATGGGGCCACGAAGCGCTGTCCCGGGTGGGGTAGACGCATGCGACCCCCCCATGGGATTCCCAGCCGAGAGCTTGGGGGGGGTGCAGCATTGAATACTTCTCTGCTGTCATAAGGAGGGAACGTGGACGAGGAGGAGGAGGAGGAGGAGGAGGACGAGGAGGAGCCCTCGGCCATGTTGGCCTTTTACGCTCACCCCTTCCGCCCTCGTCCCTCCCGATGACCTCCCTTCGCCTCTCCTGGCCGGACGTTTCCCCTCCCAGACTCCTCCGCTCCTTCCTTCTTCCTCTTCTCTTACGCGGCGCCTCCCTTCCTCCCCTGCCTCTCCTCGCCTGCCTTCTTCGGGAGGGGTGCACGGGGATGAAGGGCGGGTGGAGAGAGGGGGAGGGAGGGGAAGAGGAGCGGAAGAGGAGGAGGGAAGGGAAGAAACCCCCCTCACTCCTCCGCTCCCTCCTCCCCTCCCCCTCCCATTCCCTTCCTCCCCTCCCCCTCCTCCCCCCCCCTTTTTCCTCCCTTCTCTCCTTCTCCCCACGCGGCACGCCAGCGACCCGCAGGAGGCAGAAGTCGCTTCAGGACGAGCCGGAGCCCATCCCCGGGGACAACGCTTCCGGCAGCACGCGCGGCGCTCGGAGCTGCCGGGGGGGAGCGGGGAGGCAGCGCGGGATCCAGGCCTCCGGCGGTTTCGGAGGGAGGAGGAGCGACACCAACACCACCAGGGGCCCCACCTCCAGCGAGGAGGTCCACGAGGCCTCCCCGAGCTGGATGCTGGGGATGTCTCGAGCGAGAGGGGGGGGCCACACCGCCAGGGAGACTCCCCTTGCCTCCTCGCACCTCCTCGCCCTGCTGGTGCTGGTGTCGCCTTTCCCTGTTCCCACGGGTCTCCTCGAAGAACCAAAAGCGACAGAAGCATGGATCTGCGCTCCGCTCGGATTTCTTGGATCTTCGCTGGGACGCCCGGGCGGCGCCTCCAGCGCCGCCCCTGGCGCGGTCCGCGGGGTCCAGCGCGGATCCAAGAGATGTGTGCGGACCCCCAACAGTTAATGCTTTTGCTTTTTTGTTCTTCCATTTCCGTCATTTCGTTTTTTCTTCAGTTCGGTTTCATTGGGGTTTCGCCTTCGACTTTTGTTTCCCTCTTCCCAGACCTCCGACGATATGCATCTCAAAATTTACCAAGTCCTAATTTGTCAGTGCTCCCCAGGGCTCCTGTGCTTTTAATGATCTCGACCTCCAGGCCCTCCTTTTCAAGCCCGAGGCCACCAGCAGGGACAACGCTCGGGGGGGGGGGGGGGGGGGGGGGGCAAACTCAGGAGGGTTTGCATCGATAACCGTGCGATCGCCCATGGCCCAGCCCGATAGCCGCTAGCCTACCCCGCCTAGGGATGTTCGGTTTCGCTATCAGCATGTCGCCGATCTATCGGCGATGCATCGCTGCTTCCTGCTTGATGGTCCCCCCTGAGCCAGTCCCTCCTAACGTTCTCCCTCACATCACAGATGTGTCCAGGATGCAGAGCGACCCCCGTGTAAAGCGGTCGGGAGTTCTGGGGGTGCAGATTGACAACGTCGCATTTGCCGGAGTATTTCTGGGGGGGTAGGCAGCGAGGGGAAAGGACGAGGAGGCGAATGATGATGGTGATGATTACGATGGTGATGTTGTTGCTGATGATGATGGTGTTGATGATGATGCCGATGCTGATGTTGATGCTGCTGCTGCTGCTGATGATACTGCTCATGCTGATTATGTTGCTGAACATGGTACATGTGGTAAATGTGATTGGATGATGATGATGATGATGATGATGATGATGATGATGATGCTGATGATGCTGATGCTGATGCTGATGCTGATGCTGGTACTGATGCTGATGCTGATGCTGATGCTGATGCTGATGTTGATGCTGCTGCTGATGCTGATGATGATGATGATGCTGATGATGATGATGATGATGATGATGATGATGATGATGATGATGATGATGATGATCCACGCGTCTGAAGAGGTCAGGAGCTCCTAGCTCGTGCTGCCCCTCGGACCGAAGCGTTTCCATCTGGCCCTGCGGCGGCAACGCTCGGACTCGTGCGCCTCAGCGAATCCTCGCAGATTCACCTGAGTGCCAAGAGGCCGCCCACCGCCCCAGTCGAAGCAAAAGGTAGTACGGCATCCGAGCAGTCACGGCGACTCAGCCCACACAGCAGCACACACGCCGAGGGGAACTGCTGCTCATCGGGCTGCTCGGAGTCGCGCTGCTGGTTGACGTCGGACTGCTGCTCGGAGACCGCCTGGGTGTCCACGCGCATCGGCGTCTCGGCGAGAGCGGGCTCCGATGCAGCCTTGTCCTGGGCCTCCGACTCCTGCTCCTGGACCCGCTGGGAGTCCGCCCACGTGCACTCCTCCTCGAAGTGCACCTCCCTCGTGGGGCCCGCGGAGCCGATCCCGACCTTCTCCTGGAGGTCCTGCTGTGCAACACCTGGCTGCATGCGCCCGTTGTGCTTGACAGCGTACTCCGACGGGTCGCTGCCAAGAGGCTCATCATCTGCAGCCTCATCATCATCATCATCATCATCATCATCATCATCATCATCATCATCATCATCATCATCATCATCATCATCATCATCATCGTCATCATCATCGGCCGAGTCCCTCTCGCACTCCACCCCCTTCACCGCCGTGGTCGGCGGGCAGGCGCTGGATGCCTTCGGGCCGCCATCCCGCCCGAGCTCCTCGAGTCTCCACTGCCACCACTGCGCGCCAGAGGTGAGGGGTGGAGGAACCGCCTCAGGCGCCGAACGCACACGATCCGCCAGGACGAAGGCAGTGCCGCGGGTCGCGGCCCTCCCCCGCCTCGCAGCCATTCTCCATGCTGTGCACGTGGCGGGCTCGGCTGCCTCCGTCGCCTTGAGTGCCCGTGCGCTCGCCGGTACGGCCGCCGACGCCGTCGGTCCTTCCCGCGTGGGCCGACGGCCGCGCCAACGCCAGCGCCCAGGTTCGCGACCTCCCTCTGCACATCGCTCGGCTCGTCGTGCTGGGTGCCGAGGGGCGCCTGCACCTCGCCCGAGCTGAGACCGTCCTCGCCCGTGCAGGCGTCGCCGAGGGTGTCGTCGTCGACGTGCCTGGAATCATCGTCCTGCGCTCCGTCGCCAGCGCACTCGCCGAGCTCGGGCTTGGACTCGAACCTGACCCCATCGGGCCCGCGATCGCTGTCGTAGCCCTCGAGCTCGTCGTCGCCGACGCCGTACTTGATCTCGTACTGGTTGTGCAGCTGCACGTGCTGCTGCTCGTCCACGTGCTGCTGGTGCCCGTCATCGTCGTTCTTCGCATCGCCCATGTAGCCGCACTCGTCTGTGGGCGGCGCCATGCTGCGGCGCCTCGCCTCCAGGCTGGGTGGCCATCCCGCCTCAGGGGGAGGACGGCTGAGAGCCCCCAGATCCGTTGGGGCGAGGGCGCCAGACCGCCCACGGCGCTGGCTGGCCTGCGGCCGCTCGAGCGCGGCCTCGAGGACCTCGGCGCCTTTACCGAGGAAGGCGTGGGCCCCGAGGTTCCGAGTCGCCGAGCTCGGCGCCCGAAGCCCTCTCGCCGCGGATCAGGCCCGCCAGGGCTGGCCTGATGGCCCGAAGCCGCAGGGCGAGCTCGGCGTCCTCCTCATCGCCAGCTCCATCTGCAGCCCAGCCCCCGATCAGCTCAGCAACGACGCGCGCCGCGGCGGCCACGGCGGCCGCGATGCCGTGCCTCGCAGCGCCCCCCGCTGCCGCGCCTTCGGTTGCCGCTCGAACCAGCGGCGCCAGGGCGGCAGCAGCGTCCAGCGCCGCGACTGCCATGAATGCCCGAACAGCGCGGGACTCGAGGGGGCCAATTGAGGAGGAAATTGCCCGAACAGCGAAGCTCGAACGGGGAAACCGCTGCCACACCGGCGTGGTTCCTTGAGCCAAAATGGCTACGGATGTTGATGATGATGCTGCTGCTGCTGCTGATGATGATGATGATGGTGATGGTGATGGTGATGATGGTAATGGTGATTGTGATGATGATTATGCTGATGCGGATGCTGATGCTGATGCTGATGCTGATGCTGATCCTGATGCTGGTGATGATGATGATGATGATGATGATGATGATGATGATGATGATGACGATGACGATGACCATGACGATGTCGAGGACGAGGGTGATGATGATGATGATGATGATGATGATGATGATGATGATGACGATGCTGATGCTGATGCTGATGCTGGTGATGAGCTGATGCTGATGATGATGATGCTGATGCTGATGATGATGCGGATGCTGCTGGTGGTGCTGCTGCTGATGCTGATGACGATGATGATGGTTGTGGAGGTGATGTCGATGGTGATGATGCTGATGATGATGGCGATGGTGATGGTGATGACGATGATGATGATGATAATAATGAAGTTGCTGATGCTGATGAGTGATGATGATGATGATTATGATGTAAATGATGGTGATGACGATGACGATGACGATGACGATGATGATGATGATGATGATGATGATGATGATCATGATGATGATGATGATGCTGATGCTGATGATGATGATGATGATGATGATGATGATGATGATGATGATGATGATGATGATGATGATGATGATATGATGGTGGTGGTGGTGGTGGTGGTGGTTGTGGTGGTGATGATGATAATGATGATAATGATGATGATTGTGATGGCCAGTGTGATGGTGATGGTGAACATTGCACTCCGCTAGAAGAAGCCCAAACAGCATTCCGTATCGGCTACAGCCGTTTTGGCTCCAGCAGTTCCGGGCGCAGGCGTTCTCTCTCTCTCCAGCGGCCAGCGCCTCTTCGCGGCCAGCGCCATGGCTTTCTGGCGCTCCGGAGGCCACGGCGGGGGCCTCCGCGGCGTGGGCGCCAACTATAGCGCCTACGGCGGCCCCGGGATCCTCAGAGGCTACGCCGGGGGCCTCGGCGGCGCGGTCGGCGCCCACGGCGCGGGCGGCGCGCTCGGCGGGGGCGGCGCCCCGGGGTGCTGCGCCGAGGCCAGCGCGTGCATGGGCTGCGGCCCCGCCTGCGGCGCCGCCTGCGCTGAGGCCTCGGGGTGCGGGGCGGGCGGCACCACCGTGCTGGGCTACGTGGGCCCGGGGGGCGACTTCGTCCAGGAGACCACCTACAGGCATCGGGAGCGTGATATATCCGTCCTCGTGCCACACCTCCAGAGAGGTCTTAGAGGTCGCCGTGGCGATCGCGGCGGCCACCCATGGGGGCAAGGTTTTTGTCGAGGAGCGACAGGGCCCATCCCAGCCTTCTCCCTCTCTGCGATGTAGACGTGGTGCATAATTAACATCAGTCCAGGAGACCACCCACAGGTACTTTGGTTGCAGCTCATGGGAGCCTTGCGTGTCCTCGTAGTTCTGTCTCTAGAGTGCACTAGCGTGCGCTAGCGTCTGGTAGTCGATGCGATAGCGCCGATTTAGCGTCGATTAGCGTCGTTATAGCATCGATTTGTCTCGGTAAGCGTCGACTCGCAAGAGCCAGCAAGACAGTATGGGAGGCTTCCATGAGTTGCCACCACAAGGTACGTGGGTGCCGGCGCAGGCGAGTTCGGCGTGGTTCGCATCCCCGGGAGCGGGCCCAGCTGCTTCTTGTGCCTGGTGCTGTCCCTGGGGCTGGCGCTGCTCCTGCTGCCCCTCCTGCTCTTCGGGATGGCGCCAGGCTCGACGACGACGACGACTACGACGACGACCACCCCTCCGTTTTTGCCGCCAAGCACGACGCCGCCGCCTGACGTGGCCGCCACCACCACAGCCGAGGAGACGACCGCCGAGCCGCCGTCGCCGCCCCCGCCGCCTCCGCCGCGTCCGCCACCGCCGCCTCCGCCGCCTCCGCCTCCGCCAACGACGACGGTGAAGAGGATCGACTGCGGGGAGGGCGACGCCATGAATTGGGACGTGCCGAAGAAGGTCTACTGCTGCCTGCGTGAGGGCAGGGGGTGCCCAACGACGCCGCCCCCGCCTCCGCCCCCGCCTCCGCCTCCGCCTCTGCCTCCGCCGCCCCCGCCCCCGCCCAGAACTATACCTGCGCCAGTGCCAGTGGTCACCACCTCCCCCTGTCCGATCGACTGTAGCGCTGGTTACAACGACCTGGATCCCTTGCAGTGGGTCCGCGGCTGGTCTGGCGCGAAGAAGTTATATTGCTGCAGGACTGCGAACAGGGGCTGCCCCTCAGAACTGCCTCCGCCCTCGGGGCTTCCGCCGTCCAACGCCCCCGCTCAACCGGACAACAGAGCGTACGATTGCAGCGCCGGCTACCACCACTGCATGCATTGCTTGGAGCTCTCGTGGTCGCCGAGTAAGATCCAGCACTGCTGCGCAATTGAGCACAAGGGCTGCAGGGGCGAGGAGCCAGCGTGAGGAGTCTGCTGCTGGCCAGGCCCCGCTTCGGAGGTCAGCGCTAGTGCCCCCAGAAGGGCCTCGCGTGGTGTGGAGGGGCAGAGGAGGCTGAGGTTGAGGCAGGATGGCCAGGTTGAGCCGCAGCAGTCAAGCCCGCGCGGTTCCGAAGGGGCGCACCACGCCGCGAGAGGTCAGGATGCAGAGTATATCATGCTTTTTGTTTGTTTTGTTGTCGGTGCGGCTTTGGCCTCATCGGCGGGTGGGTGTGGGAAGGATGAGCACGTTGCTGCCATTATTTTCGCTCGTATGCGAGCGCTTAGTGACCAGCATGTTTGTCAAGCTCAAGTATTTTACCTTCACAGAGAGCGCGCTCCTTCCTTCAACATGTTTGAGTTGAGGTTGCCCACCCAGTGTAGCCAGGCCCTGTCAGTTGTCCGCAGCTGTGTTCTTTCTTTCATCATTGTATTCATCTTCATGCTTTCTCGCCCTCCTCCAAGTGCCTTGCCCTGCAGGAGTCCTACAGGAGATGCGCCTGCGCCCGCTCCTAGACGCCTGGCACCCTGAGCCTGCCCAGGTGCCCCCATGCCGCCCCCAACAAAAATTAGTTGGCGCAGGTTGCGCAATAGGTTGCGCCACCCTCCCGCTTTCAGCATCCCGCGTTCAACCAAATCGTCCGCTGCCTCAGGGAACGTATCATTGCACCAAACGTTGCGTCAGACACCCCGCGTTCAACACAATCGTCCGCTGCCTCAGGGAATGTACCATTGCGCCATAGGTTGCGCCAGACACTCCACGTTCAAACAAAACGTACGCTGCTTCAGTGAGTGCACCATTGTGACAGAGCTTTCGCAATAGCTTGCAAGATTCCCAGAGCAGTCCGTTTTCAACCAAACCGCCCGCTGCCCGAGTGAAACCGTGCATCAGCATTGCGCCAAAAGTTGTGCCAGGCACCCCCGCCTTTCAACCAAATCGCCCGTTAACTCAGTGGGTGTGCATTCTTATCTTGTAGCGGACCCTTCCGAGTCGCTCCGCTCCGCTGGCCCATATTGCATCGCTGCTGGAAGTAGGTTACGTGATATAGGGGCCATTTGGAGGCCTCGGGCAGAAGCCCATGGGAAGCGAAAAGGTGAGACGGACCAACCGGTTGGCATATCGGAGGATTGTTGAAGTATTTGGGATCTTGGAGGTGTCTTGGGCGGCGTAGGACCGTGATGGACCACCTTGAGGCTTCCTTGGGTTCTCTTGAGGCTGTCGGCTCAAGCCATTGTCATGCAAGCGGGAAGCGGGCCAGCCTTCGAGGGACCCTCGCCCTCCTTGCGGGGCCCCAGCTGGTGCGCCGCGCAGGCATGGGCTCGGGCGCCTCCTCCTCGAAGGCCCCGGCGACGCCACAATGGCGGTCCGCTGGCCGGCGGTCGCGCTTGGCGGGCGCCGCCACGGACTCCGTCATTGCGCTGGCGGAGTCGTCTGCCGGCCCTCCGGAGCCGGTGGATCCCAGCAGGTCGGTGTCCCTTGCCGGCGAGCTCGGGCCCCGCACGTGCCAGATGTGCGGGGAGGTGCGGAGGACTGCGCGCCTGGACGCCAGCGGGTCGTGCTGCGCGGCCTGCATGCTCATCACCAACCAGCCGAGGGCTTCGACCAGGAGATCGCGGAGCCTGCCCGTCGACGTCCACAAGACGAGGCAGGGCGAGCTCTCGAAGCGCTGACGCGGCCCTTAGCGCAATTCCTCGGCAGCTTCGGGCGCCATGGCCGCCGCTTGCTGCCTGCCGCCTACAGCTGTCTTGGTGTACTGTTTAAGGCTTAGTGAGCGCGATTTGCGTAGCATTGCGGAGTTCAACATGCACTAGTTGCTGATTGTTATTTGCCAACTGGTCTGACATCGGGGGTCGGAGAGATCGGGCAGAGGGGAGGAAAGTGAGGAGGAGAGAAGAGGAGGACGACAACCAGGAGGAGAAGCTAGACACAGGCTGCACTGATGGTGCGACATCACATCATGTAATTATTTTGACCGTTGTCCAGGTGTCGGGCTTCAGGCCGCCCCGGCAGCAGCGGGAACGAGCGCTCACGTGATTGCCTGGCGCGGGCTTTGGTGGCGCACCGCAGAGGCAAAGGTCATACTTCCGCCGAGTGGGGAGCAGCTCGGATCGGTTCCAAATCAGAAGCAAGAGCGGCCCACCAGCGGCTCGAAATTCTCTAGGACGCCTCACGGGGCGAGTCTCCGTCGAGTCTCTGTGTGCACGCGACCTTTTTGCAACGCACTCTTTTGGTTCTCATGAAGAGCTAGCTGCCCAGTGCGCGCTCTTCTGCCTTCAGCCCACGCTCTGTCTGCTTCGCCCAGTGGTGGTGTGGTGGATCACGGAGCTGGCTCCAACGGTCCTCCATGGGTGGACGACGAGCTTCGGGAGACCCCCCCCCGGAAACACACCGTTGGCTGTCCGACGGTCTTTTGCATTTTAACACATGTACTGTCTTGTCCGCCCCTGCGGGCGCCCACGACGGGCTGCTCCGCCTGCCTGCCTGCCTGGGGTGACGCGTCATCCATCAACAAAAAAATGCCTGCGATGAGGCCGCTGTGGCGGCCTCTTGGGCCCACCGTAAGCCATACTGGGCGATCTTGGAGCCGTCTGGAGGAAGCGAAAGCGTGAGGAAATCCAGCATCTTTTAAGATCGAGTGGTAGATTCATTGGCTCACGGTGCCCCGCCGACCCCAGGAGTGCCTTGGATGCTTCTCCTCCGGGGGGGCGTTGTCGTAGCAACGTTTTGGCGCCGTGCGTCCATCTGGGAAGCCCATAACCGTGCTCAAAAGAGGGTCCCTGTCGGGTTATTTCGCAGCCTCATGGCGTTCTTGTTGGGGCCTCTTGGAGCTATCTTCGGTGCGTGCTGAGGTCCTTGCGGCCATCTGGTAGGGGAGGCCCCAGGGGCCCCTTCACTTGGGCTCCTACTTGCCTCATGGAGGTTTCGTGGGCAGTCTCGGGTGCCTTTTGGGTTATGTTGGGGCTCTCTTGGACACCTGTTGGGCTGTCTTGGGGTGATCTTTCGGACCCCTTGGGTTGTCTCAGACACCCTGGAGATCGAAAAGTCGAGCACGTCAAACATCTACATTGAAGCCAACGAAAAGTCAACGACATGTGCCACTCGGCGCCTTCTTGGGGTTCCTCCTGGGGCTCTCTTTGGCGCTGTCTTCTGAGCCTCTGGGGCTGTGTTGAGGCCACATTGGGCCCTGTTGGACCTACTTTTGGGCCAGCTCAGAGCACTGGCAGACCGTCATGCAGCGCTCTCTGGCAATTTTGGCGCGGGCCACTCCCCGGCCAGACGAGTCCACCAGGACGTTTGACCCCGCCCCCTCCAGATCGGCCGCGCCGGTCTGCCGGGTGAGGGGTTTGACTGGGAGTTTTGAGGCGGGGGTGAGTTCAAACAGGGGTCAGCCAGGGTGCCGGACCTTGCAGGATCTTGCAGATCCATGGCTGCATTGACCCGGGCTAGCTCGCAGGATCTTGCAGGATCTTTCAAGTTCCTGCAATGCCTGACTGACCCAGGTTCGCATTGACCTGGGTGCGTCGCCGATGTGGGAAGGGGCAATTAGTTCAAGGGATCGGTTAAATTTTGAAGGATTCATCCCTGGGCTATCTTGGGGCCTCCTGGGGCTGTCTTGGGGGCCACCCATTGATCCGCTCTCCTGGGTCATTATTGAGCTCTCTTGGAGGTCCTTTGGGGCGATCTTTAGCTGTGGTGACGATCCTAAGGTCCGCGCCCAGAAGTAAGGCCATCTCTGATACGACTTGCCCTGGAGTTGGCCGGGTCGGGTGTTGCCAGGGGGATATCTCCTTCTGGTTTTCCAGTGGGGGGCCCAGTGGCCACCACGCGCGCTCCAAGCACTCATTACCTGGCGATTCTAGCACGCCTCTGGCCCGTTGGGCCTGCGAATTGTGCCTGCTGTTTTGAGGATGAGGGTGGTCATGGTGATGTGGTGATGATGGTGATCCTCGAACTCGCCTCTTCTCGTGCTGGAGGAGCTGGAGAGGGCGAAGGGAGAGGGGGACTTCATTATCGGGATTAAGACTTGGTCGACATCGCTGCTTTGAAGGAAGTAGGTGCATGAAGGGGGGGTGTACAGTTTCGTGTCTTGCCAACGCCGTTTCCACTTATGGAGTGCGTGCGGCCTCCGTGCGCGACCAGACCTGCCTGGAGGAGGTGGACGTGGACGTGGAGGAGGGCCCGGCGAGCTCTCGTCGGTGGAGGTCTCCCAGATGTGGCCAGAGCAGATCGTCCGAGCAGGATTTCTGTCCGCATCCAGTGCCTTGGCATAGTTCGGACGTGTGTGCTGTTTTTCGCGGCTAGGGCCATCGAGAATCATCCTGGATCATCTTGCGAATACATTCGCGACTTAACTTGAGCAATACACTCGGAATGGACGTCCGTGCGATGGTGAGGTGCGTTTTGGACGTTTTTGGAAAAGGGCGCCGCAAGGCCGTGGCGCACTAGAAATTGGTGAAGATCAAGCCTCTAGGGGCCAGATTGTCATTCCTATCCACTGCGCCTCGGTTTTCTGTGGGAGGGAGCCCGAAACTCCAAGCTACGGTGGATATGGACACAAGTCTTGCCCGCAGATAGGGTCCGAGGATCGCACCGTGCCGCCGATGCATTGGCGATGCATCGGCGTCGGCGGGACGGAGGAGAACGGGCTCAGATCTCAGGAGGAAAACAGCAAAGACACAATGGAAGATGTGGGAAGTGGAGGGGAAGACGAACATCCAGGAAATAGGGAAAATATGGGAATTCCTGGGATTAGTGATTACTTTTTTGTGTGTCCCTGGGCCCCTTCACAGATAGGGTCCGAGGATCGTGCCGCGCCGCCATTGCATCGGCGATGCATCGGCGTCGGCGGGATGGAGCAGAACGGGCTCCAGATCGTGCCGCACCGCCGACGCATCGTGCTCCAGCCCCACTGGGAAGGCCCTGAGTCCAGGACGTCCCAAGCAGGGCTCGTTTCGATTCGATTATATCTCGGTGGCTTCCGATTCCGATTCGATTCGACTTCGGATTCCGACTTGGATGCCGATTTCTCAATGGAGGCCTGCTAGACTTCGGATTGCCGCCGATTCGACTTCTCCCAACTCGGCTGCCGATTTCCGACGATGTGAATTATTTCGATCGTCGATCCGACTCACGATTCGATTCTGGGCTCTCCTGCCCAAGATGTCCTCAAGCCTCCGCCCTTGCAAACTTCGGAGCTACATGGCGTCCATGGTTGTCCGATTCCACATGCATGTCGGGGAGCACAACGTTGTAAAAACATTCAGGATCGTCGCTCCCATACTGCCCACCACTAAACATAACTTGCTGGGCGGTGAAGGAGAATTTGGTTCGTTGAAGCCGTCCCTTTAGGGAAGCCAGCATTGCCGACAGTAATACGATGCTGTTTAACTCGACCTGTAAGGGCTCCCCAGAGACCGGCCAGGGTCACCTGCTATCTCACTGTGGCCCTGCCCGCACCTGTGCGCTGTGTGGTGCTTACAGCTCGCATCATATCGGTAAGCACGGCAAGATGGCAAGACAGGGACGGAGGATTCGTAAGGGGCCGCCGGCCCAGAGAAAGCCCTTGGGCCACTGTCCGATCCGATGCTGACGTTGAGACGTGAGCCCAAGAGCGGGCGCCCCATCCCTCCCTGAGCCTGGGCTCCTC